AGCCTTGAGGACAGGGCCAGAGTTTGATAGGGAGTTTGATAGGAGCTGTTTGAAGGACAGACTTTCTAGATGACCTTCCCCAGTCCCCCTTGTCACAGTCCAGCACTCGGACCAGGTTCTTGGAGATAATCCCATGGATGGAGGGTGTCAAGCTTAGTACCAATATTATTTAATTGACAATGGTTGATGTCACACAGCTTTTCTGATTTAGAGTGAACACAATACATCAACGGCAATACACCGTTTGATCACAGTACCAGTGTTGTTCCCATGACTGGTCCCTGTGGTATCCTCACCATCACCAATGATGAGTGTCCCCATTTGCCAGGAAGGAATAGGAGAGCTGATGTCACCTGAAGCCTGTGGCTTTCTGCAAAATTCTGGCAGCTGCCTAAGGCTCTTACGTGATGTGTTCATCTCCCCATTCTAGTCTGGCCAGCTCAGGGGGACCTTCACCCTCTAAAGAACTTCTTTGGGAGAAATGTTTACACCGCCAGTTGGTCCACTCAGCTGTTGATAGCTGTTTGTCTAAAACAAAGGCCTCCCTCTGGTCCCCTTTGTGTGGACATAAAGCCCTCTTTGCAAAAGCTGTGGTCCACCACACCCTGTGTCATTCCCTGAGCTTCGTAAGCATGTCACCCTTGCCCACCTCCTCTCAGCCTTAGTCCATTTTAGGGGCTCACCGGTCAGTCACACCCACGAGAAACCAACTCCCAAGTAACAAATGCAAGAAAAAGCAAACCTGTCTTCCTCAACAAACTCAGTGAGTTAGGCTTAAAGCATGCAGTTTAACACCAGCCTTGTTTTTAACAGCACATCCATTTTGGTACAGCATATTTTTATCTACTGTGTAGGCTATGTAGAAACTGTAATGCAAAAGAGGCTAAATAGAGCCAAATCAAACTTATTCAGAAATACTGTTAACAGATTACCCTAGCAGTGCACTCACTACCTTGTCAATGGATTTGACCTGGGTCAGTGTTCAGTTGTTCGCTGTAGGATTTTTTTAGTCCTCTGCCCTCCCCTGCCTGGTGCCCGTACGCCTTAAATCACTTAACCATGTTTTCCTTTGGACATCACATGCATAAACCAATTTTTTCCCCTGCAAAACCCATCGTTCACTCTTCAGCAGGCAACTCATTTTTCAGGAAAAGGTGGTTTACACATTCATTTAAGTTTACGACAAATGAACACAGATTTTCCAACTGTAAAACTGTATCCTTGGAGCAAGTGGAAGTTTACTTGCTTGTCAAACAGGCTGTGCTTGGGGGTGCAAATTCTGCATTTTCCAATGTAGATAAGGTAAGAGTGATTAGAAGTGTTTGAGTTGGTCAGTATTTTTTTGCTGTTGTGTTTGGATTTTTTTTTTTTTTTTTTAAGACTAGACCACCATCACCTCTTATGTAAAAAGAGGTATCCCTGAAAATTTAGTTTTAATTTTGGAGAAACTTTGACTTTCACGGTAAGTATGTAGTGTTTAATATGATGCCTTTTTCCAAAAACGAGTACTATATGATCACAGAGGAAGAAAACAAATTAACTAGAACTCTATCTGTGTTTTGTACTGGGTAACAGTATCCCAACAATTCAAATACAAGTACTGTTGTTTTCCAAAGTCAGTCCCCTGAAATGTAGAGCCAGAAGTTTTCTATTTTTGAAATTAGAAAAGTATATGCTTAAAGGAGTTGAGCTTTAATTAAAGGTTTTTCAGAGCATTTATGAGTCAGTGTGGTACAGACAAGATGGTTTTGTGTTGAAATTTTTTAGAATGCTGGAAATAAAAGTGAGAAAACAAACTTCTGATTATTATTTTTAATTTTACACAATTCATGATTATATTCTCAGTATTCAATATTTCATATAAAATCAAATACAGTATGCACTATTTTCACATGAGACACAAATGCGTATTGAACTTAATATTACAAGATAATATGAAGCTTTTAAAAATACCTTCAGCAAAATAAACTCCCATTCTGTCAATCCAAGTTAAAAAAATAGGATTAGAAATATACAATTTAAAAATAATCAGGGTGAACAGTACTGATCAGTCAAGAAATGTTAGGTCTTGATAGTCTGTACATGAGTTTACACAAGACAAACAGTCTGCAAACCATTAATATAAAAACTGCAGCGCAACAAACTGGTGAACTTTTTTTTTTTTTTTTTCATTTTAATGCACGAGTCTCTACAAATCATATTGTTTTAAATCAGCAGCACTTCCTCTATTGTCATACCGGTGCAAAAAGACAAGGTCTGGGTTAGCATCTGAGTTAAGTTACTGATGCTGTAATGGAAGCTAGCAATTTGACCCAAGGTAGTACAGCTTTTCAGTATGTTGCATACTTTTGAATAAGAGATCAAAGGACAATCCATTTGTCATGTATTTGAAAGAGGAGAGATAATTTCTAAGGAAAAAAACTCCTAATTGATGACAGCAGAAATAACTTCCTTCAGCTGCTTTGTGGTACAACAGTGATGCAGCTGCTGCCACACATTTCATTTTGGCACATAATACTTCACAATTCAAAAAAGCTTTAAAAACCAAGGACTCCCTCACCCGTGCCCACTCTTCATTCTTGTATTTAAGACAGCTGTGGTATGGTATAATAAAAATGCTAGACAAAGTGCTAAAAAATCAGAAGAACAAACTAAGCAATACAATTAGATGGGGCACAGTGAGGTAATGAGTTAATTTTCCATATAAGGCTGCTTGGAAAGTTCAAATGTAAAATCCCTTTGACATTTATGTGTTTCCCACGAAGATACTGAGTGGTGGAAGGGGTATCCCGAAACACATTAATGCCAAACATGCAGTTTTGGTTTAGCTAGAGTTGTTACTGTGTGTGTTTGTGCACTTGTTTTATGCAAGTGCTAATGGCTCTGCTGGTTACTTTAAAAAAGGCAAATTCCAATTTGGAATTTGGAAGAGGTGTGAAATAGACCAATTATTTTTGGGTTAAAAACAAAGCTGCTAAAAGAGGAAGCGTGGCTGAGAGAAGGGCAAAACCAAACACTACAAATACTACTAAATCTTTCTTGTTTTGACTCTCACCCTTTGACCTCACTAGTTCCATCCTTTCTGCCTTCCAAGATAAGAATTTTCTTCAAAAATAAACACAGATTCATATTTGCACAGTATACCTACTATTGTTCTTCAGCTTTTCGGCAAGTAGCTTACTTAAAAAAACCTCTAAAACAAAAAAAACCCCAAATACCCCAAGGAATTTTAATTACTGTATCGGGGTGAATTCTGTCCCTCTCTTTTAGGTGCTTTTTACCTGGAAGAAAATGGTCTTGAGGATTAAGATTACGAGGAAAACAAAGGATATTGGGGGTCTGAGCCTCAACAGTCCTTTATTTTGCACCATGCAAACCCCTTCTGTTTTCTTTGTATTCATATTGTCCAATATTTGCTATCCAAACAGGGATGCTACCTTTGTAAGCCTGCTTACACTTCACATCCTGCTTCCCCTCCAACTCATGATGCTTTTGCCACAGAATGTTTTCAAGCTAATATGTGGTTATTCATACTGGCATTCAAAAATCACCAGCCTAACAGAAAGGTTTATTTTAATTTAAAAGGATGTAGACTGAAACCAGTCACTGAATCTGCCCATTTACATTCATAAAAAGAAAATTCTCCCCCTTGCAGAAGTAACCTGTATCTTAAAAAACTGCAGTTATTGCATTTCAGTTCTCTCCATTTCTTCTACTTTCTACTGCAGGAGTCACTAAATCAACAGATAACTGTATTGTATTTAAGGCTATGTGGTAACAGTCGGCATCTGAGGGATATGCAGCTATAAACTTCAGTTGGCAAACAAGGGTACATCACTGCAAAGTTGGCTTTGAGATTTCATAATGTGAGAAGTGGTAGGGAACAAATGCTGCCAGTGTTAGCAGACAGTCTTGTAGTGGATCAAAATTTCAGTCTCAGACAGATTCCTCTAAAAATTAGACTGCTTTTTAACAGAGGTAAGCTGTAGTTTTTAAAATGTTCATTAGATGTTAAAAACTACCTGCCCTGAGTTCCACTACCAAGCTCAGTTGTATAGCAAGCTTATTTTCCCTTTTTTGTGCGCTGCACTCATTTAGTGTCCCAAAGCTAAAAAACAGGGACATCCACATGTTATCAAGTGTACCAATAAAACCTGGGGAAAATTCTCACCTTTTAGATACGCTAATCTAAAGTTTCACCTAAAAGACTTAAGATAGGAAAAGAAAGAGCAATGACATTTCAATATGACAGCATGGCTTTAAATGGTAAGCTCTTTTTCCTCCTCTTTAAAATCCTACCAGATTTAAAGCAATTGCAACTAGTTAAAAGAGTCGTTGGTTGTGAACAAATAAAAATCTATTACTATTGAAAATTAGTTAATTGCTTATAGTTAGTTTTTTAAAAAAATAAACAAACCACACAACTCTGAAAATAAAGCACTCTTTGGTGGATAATAGTTACTTTGTGTAATCAGTACTGTGGCTTTATAAAAAATTTCATACAAAATAAGAAAGAATAGCCAATTAACAAAGGAGAGTACCAATACTAAAAGAAAAAAGCCTTTGTGGTTTATTTTCAATCTCAAGTAGAGACTTGAGCCCAGTCTGAATGGACAACACAGATTTATGTATTTAAAACCTCCCACTACCTTTTAATTGCTCGTAGTCAGCAGCTACGTGATTGCCATCACACTTTATACACATGCATCATACATACTAGCAAGCCCTCTTTATAATAGAGAGCTTAAGTATTTACACCTGAGTCTAAATGTACACAGATTTTGTTGGTTTTGTTTGAGGAAGTGTTAGCACATAAGGAAAGTGTCTACCAGGCATATTGACAGTTCATTTTATTCTAGAAGTATGGAAGAGATTCTTCTGTTTCACTTTTGCTGAAAAATGGAAGCAAAGTAATCTTCCTCGAATTGCATCAAATCCCCTTTAGTCACATCCCCTTCATTCCTGAATATCCTCTTCAACACTGGTTGCTTATTTGAAATTTAACGCAATACTGCTCTAGTCCTTGAGACGGATTGGATGCTGAAATAAAACATATTTGAGGAAAAAAGTTAAATACGCACTCAGTATGTACTTCAAGCAAACATTTCTGGCAAGGTAAAATGAGTGAATGATACTTCAAAGAAAGAAACAGAAGATAAAAGTCACAGCATTTAAGAACACAGCAATATTGGTTGTAAAGAAAGCACAGAGTGGTCTGATCAAACAATAATGAAGAAAGGTTCCGTTCCATACAGAAAAGCAACAGAGGATTCAAAGTACCATAATTTCATTAAGCGCATTTGCTGTAAAGCATTCCTTTTCCTTCTCTCCCTCTGAGGTATCAGACTGTAGGAAAAGTAGAAAGAATAGTAAAGAAACATTAATTTTTTTAAAGCTAGATTTAGATTACAAATAGACAAGCTCTGAAACGTTGCAGGTAGTTTTCGGTGTTTGAACAAGGGTGCAGAAAGCTGCTTTACAATTCCCAGCAAAGCAAAAGCACAGGAGATCTTTAAAGTGTACTTATTTTTGTTAGTTTTTGTGATATACCTCTCTGGTTAAAAGAAGTGAAGGAATCTATACAATAGTTTTCATATGTTTTCCCCCATACTCCCAATTATTTTTTGTGTAATAACTTGACCTGCACTCCCTTAAGCCCTTCTACCTGCCAAAATTCCTTCGCCACTCAAGATTTCATTTCTAATCAACTACTTACTATATACATAATCCTAATTCTGTTGTGTGTGGTAACATAGAAAAGGCTGTTTCATTTCTGTCTTACTGTGATTCAGTGGTTTTGGATCTGATGAATGTACCTTGTGAAAATACAAGCACGAAGTAATTGGCAAATTTACAAGGAAGATATCTTAACTAGAGAAACAAGGGCATCCACAGAAAAAGACTACGGATAATGCTCTAGTAATGCAATTTCTTGCAGTCAACAACAGTGTTATTTCAAACACAAGATATAATGTATTACGTCCACCTGTACTTGTCTTTTGAAGATGGCAGCTGACATGAGATGTTCCGCAAAAGAAAGACAGTGAATGTTATGAATAGGATTGAAATTCCCTAAATTCTCTTTGCAAAGCCAGAATAAAGTGTTTTAGCTGTAAACATCTGCTTTGGCTGAAAAATCATTCAGGGGGCATTCTATCATCGTGTCTCCAATGGTCTGAAGGATGAAATGGCAAATGAATTACCCAGCTCTGTGGATTATACTCCGTTAGGATGGGTCACAAATGTGATTAATCTACAGTAAGAATTGACTAAAATGACCTAAAGTGTCAATAAATTAGATGAATGTAAAAATACTGCAAGATGTTTCCACTGGAATGTATCAGACAAGAAAATGAAAGAATAAGGGTACATAGTAATGTCAGAAGTTCAGAGAAGGCAAGAAGATCTTGACAAAGACAGATGTTGGTTAGGGCATGAACTCAATTTTGTAATAATAATTATAATACTTTACCCTGCAATCCACTTGATCTGTAATAGGTCAATCCATTGGAGCACTATGAGGTAATGCAAACTGCACAGACTTCAAGAAATTAAAATAAACTTTAAGAGATGAAAAGACAAAGGGATGCTTAAAAAAATAAAAAAAGAGTGAGGTTTTGCCAAACGCTACAGAAAAAATAAAAGGACACCTACAAGATTTTGCCAAATGCTACAGGAAAAATAAAAGGACACCTGCAAGATTAACAACAAGGTCCTGCATTCTAAGTCCATGAAATTGTACAGTCATACCAAAATACCCTTTAGAAGGACCAGCATCCAATTAGCCTTCTCAGGTGACAAGATAAGAAAGAAAACTCCAGAACTGTGACGTAACTATTTAGGACCAAGCATAAAGTGACTGAAATTCTTTGACCTCAAAAGTTAGAAGAAAAGAAACAGTATATGGAATGAAATATTTGGGGTAGAAGTTCCAGAAAATCCATTAAAATATGAAATAGTTTATGCAGTTTGAGATCAACCTTATCCTTGGTCCTCAAAGTCATAAATCTGGCAATATACCTAAAGGATTCCTTTCAAAATAACTGAAATCTTGTATGAACTCTACTTTAGAGATGTTGTTTCCTCCTAAGGATAGGTATTCTCATCTCACATAACACAAAGGGCAACTTGGAGGTGTGTTTTCGAGGAACTGAAAATGTCCAATTACATGTGTGCATGTATACTGTGACCAAGAGTTACAAGGAGCTTAAAACTGGGAGAGGCATGAAGAATAAAAACAGCAGGCAGAATCCCATCATTCTGTTTGGACCAAAACTGACATGGTGAAAATGATGCAAAATGAAGGAAAAAAACAACCAAACAAAGAGGAAAACCCTGAGAAATACTTCAGATTTTTAGTAAAACATGCATTTCAGGAAAAAGAGATTATTTAATATATCGTTATACGAATCAAAGTGTAATTCATATAGCCACTGCTAAAAATTCTTTGACTAGATTTTACTGCAGTCTACTATTAATGACTATTCTTCATAATTTCTGTTACCTTCAAGGTAACAGGATGAGGAAGGGGAAACAAAAGCTCTGCGGGGAAAAAGCTGCACAAGAACTTGGGAATTTTCAGCAATACTTACAAGTCAAGCTACATAACTACTTTTTATGTTATACGCCACCTTTTGCTCTTCCCAACAAAAGCACATCTCTTCAGCACCTGACAGACCTATTCAAAAGTTTTTCACTATAAGCACAAGACAAATTCTGGTCAATTGTAACCACTGGAAATTGTTTTAAGCTACACTCCCAGGCTTATCTTTGATAATGACCCAGAGAGCTGCCACAGAGGGCATGAACATATGCACACACAAAGAAACAGAGTAGTACTGTGGTCGTATGCCGAAAGGTACTTTCACTCTTGCATAAATCCATCCCAATTTAAAATTTCATTACGCTTTACCGAACAGGTTCAGTTCAGATTATCAGTCATACTCTCAATACAAAATCTCATACCAGTATACACATGCATTTTACACACTTCACCTCTCCACTGCTACTGCATTTCACCTGTCCATCAAACTCCTCTTAGTTTTGATGCATGTACTGACTCATAACTGACAAAGCTGTGAACAACTTTTCCGCCTCTGTCTCCAGGTGGAGGTTTGGTAAATAAAGACGCTTTTTTTTGTTACCAAAATCTGTCACTTTCAGTAATTCTGACTCACATTAGGAATTACAATATAAAATTCTCAAAGTTGAAAGACTGAGCAACATAACCAAATGATATAAGATTTAAGGTTCCAGATATTCTCAGTACATGACATGAACCATAAAATTGTTTCTCATTTCCCATTGCTAGGAGGAGGAGTTGAACTGTGGCAAAAACTCCTGCCAGCTCAAAGTATTTTAAAGAACAGTTACTGTATCTGTAAAGAGCGTAACTCTCACCTTTTTAAACTGTTCTTTCTTGCAGCAGACCTGGTAGTTCTTTTAGTAATGTCTGTACTGTCAGAAATGCTAGGTTCAGAGGTTTTATTTTTCTGAACACTGGACTGCAGAATTACTCTGAAAAGAGTAGGAAAAAAGAAAGATTATATAACTTGAAAGTTTCTAAGAAAACACTGAAAAGAGGATGTTACAGTTACAGCAGAGCTAACAAGTATCAGCTGGCTTTTCACAAATCATTCTGAAAAGCAAACTGTTCTGCCTGAAACACATCCTTCTCTTTATAACATCCTTGTTAAGACTATGTTAATACAAGTTGTTTTATTAGTATAGCAGTTTGGTTTGTTGGTTTTTGGTTGGTTTTTTCCTTTCAAAGCATGGATTAAATTAATGGTTTTGAATTTCCTGTTAGGTTTTTGGAAGACAAAAAGCTAAGAAATTGTATTTTAAATTACTGCAACAAAACAACAAAAAGATAAAATCTGAAGTATACAACAAAAACATACATTATTTTCCAGACTGACACAGAAAGGAATTCAGAAAAAAAAACCCCAAGTAATTAAATTTGTGAAGATCAAAGCTAAATCTTCTGCAATTAACCATAAGATATTCCCTTCAAATACAATAGGCTAGGAAAATCATTGCATATGTTGGCATTTTGTGCTTACAGGGAATTGTTACACCATACTCAAAACTCAGCTTTACGTGCTGGTTGTCCTCAACCTAAACAGGCAGATAAATCCTAGTGTTGCTTACATCAGTAACAAAAGAACTCCAGACTGTGAAATGCAAACAACTATTTTTTAGCCACCAGCCGACTGGTTTGTAGGGAGACCATGTCTTCTGTATTCCTAAATACTTGTAGTGAAATTACGACACTACGGAGACAACAAGTGGCAACTGGTCAATGGAGTCCACAGATACCTATTTACTGCATCATTTTAAATGTCTATTCCTTAGTCATTCCATCTGTCCAAGTTTCCAACTATAAAACTATGCATCATTTTAGAGATTCAGAGCTAAGAGTAACTTAGCTATTACTGTTTTTTTCCTCCTGCTATTATTATCCTCTAATTTTCAGTGGCTTCACTAGGTCTATCTGTGTCAGCAGATAATATTAGACTGGAAATCAAAACCTTCACCAAGTTGTATATACTGCAGTCTGGTCGATTAATACTCTGAAGAAACTGTTTTCAAGGAACCCTAGGTATGAACATAAAACATAACTTTTGGAGCAGAAGTGGACAGACGTACATGGGAGAAAATATTAATATTTCCATACTCATGTAACACATTCACCAAAACCAGAAATGCTAAGAAACCCCTATGCTTTCACTATTTTATATGGGTTAGATACCAGAATTAGAATATGCATCAGAGATAACACAATTTCATCTAAAATAAATTCTTTCCAGCAGTAAAACTGATTGGCAACCTTATTTACCACATACTTATAGATTGTTTAGCAAACAGATGACCTCAGAACGACAAAGTTCAAGTATTTTAAATTTCTACTTGAACAAATCTCTCTTAGTATTTCAGACTTGGAAAATCCTGTCAATTGATTTGCAAAGGTCCAAACCAAACAGTCTTCTCTTCCTCCAATATAAGATACAAGATTGTAATGGCAAGTGCTATCAAAG